GTGGCTGCAGCGGGCAACGCCCGCCCCATCTTTGTGGCTTAACATCCATGTTGATTGACTGCCCAAGTGCGGCCAGCGGCGTCAAGCGACAGCTAACGGTGCGCCTTTTTGGCTTCTAAAGCGAATGTGAGCGAGCGATCATTTAAAATGCATAAAACTCATTTCGTTGATTAATTGCCGTGTGTTGTCGTCTTCTATCGCAGCGGCTTTGATCCAGCTTACCAGCACCAGCTCCTGCCCCTGCTCCAGCCCCAGCCCCTGCCATAGCCCCAGCATCCCGAGCAGCAGCAACTGCAGCTGCAGTTTCATTTTCTCCTATTTAATATCCTAGATACATGTCGATAAATTGTATTGATTTTGATAAATCTACATTGTGAGCGGGTATATTAGCTAGCTAAAGTAGTATCAGATGACTGGAGAGATATACATATGTATATGTGTATATTTATGTATATCTGTATAATCTGTCTAAGCTCTATAGCTTGCTTTAGACTTTACCTTACCTAATTAGCAAAGTAATGTAACGTAACGTAAAGTAACGTAACGTGATATAAAGTATTGTAACGTAACGTGACGTAATGTAGATATAATAGATCTCTCTCAATGATATACAGCTCTCTCTTCTTCTCTCTCTCCCTCTCTCTCTTTCTCTCTCTCTATGCATTTTGCATTTTGTTTGAGGGTATTCGAAATTCGTCTTTTTTCCCATTTGTGGCAACAACTAATTTAAATTGGCTGCTGCCTTACGGTACATCGTGGTCTTAGGGTGTCGTGTGTGAGTGGTTCAAATGTAATGCAAATTAACTTAATTGAAAATTAATGTAAATATTTATGCATACTTCGTGTTGCAGTCAACTTGATTCTATGCAAGAGAGAGAGAGAGAGAGAGGGAGAGGTAGAGGTAGAGGTAGAGCTAGTGAAATAAATGGACTTTAATTTTCGGTAGCCAACTCGTGCCGCGATAACGCTGCGCCAGCAGCCAAGATAGATGTGCTTTTAAATGATGCACCGCTTCAAATGAATAAATATATATTTATGTAAATGTATATATACATACATATACAATTATATACACATATATATATATATGCGATAACCGGAGCGGACTGATCAAAAAAACGAAATAATACTAATAAATAAATAAATAAATAAAACACAATTCCAAATGATCGGCGCTTTGTTTCTAACGGCTGTTTGTTTATTTATTTGTTAGTTAAATTTGTTTTTTTCTCTAGTCTTTTTTTTTGTGTGTTTTCATCTAATGAGCCAATGCAGATGTGTAAATTTTAGTTCATTTGCATTCGCGCGCCGCATTTAGATATCGTACAGACTTCAATCGAGAGCCACTGCCACAGCCTCGGACTCAGCCTCCCCAAATGGGGCCTGCCACATGCATTATTGATGATGACTCAACACACGCACTCGAGGGCCTATCGAGCGTCGCCCAATTGAATTGAGAGGCGAGAGTGCGTTCCAGCAGGCCTTCTAGGTAGCTCCAGCTAAACACAAAGAGTCTTTGCTTAGTTTCTATGTGATTGATTTATTGGACGATTTATATTGTTGTAAAAATGCGTGTTGCAGCCAGCAGAAGCACAGTGACGTAACTTTCGTAAAGCATCGTAACAATAACGTGAAGTTTGATAGCAATGTAGAGTTACGTGTAGTAACGTAGCAGGGAATTTCGTGTAAGTAGCGTAAAGTAGAGTAACGTATAAAAAGCGTAAAGTAATTTTTAGATGCGAAGTAACGTTACTATATGTAGCAAATAAGTAGAAATAAAGTAAATAATGTAACGTGCCGTACCTTAACGTAATATACCGTAACGTAATTTATGTGGCGTAACGTAATGAAACGTATTGTTTCGTGGCGTAACGTACCGTGGTATACCGTGACGCAACGTAACATAGCGTAACGTAGCGAGACACTACAGTGCATGTCGTAACGTACACAGTGCGTGCCGCAGCATAACGTAACGTAGCATAACGTAACGTAGCTCAACGCACAGTAACTTTATGTAACGTTACACAAAGTAATGTAACGTAGCCTCACATAGAGTAGCGTAACGTAGTATAACGTAACGTAAGCCAAAGTAACGTCAGCTCGTCTTATCAGTTTTGCCATGTCTTATGCAATAAAATGGTAGAATTGCTTTAGTGGTCTGTTATATGAGCTTTATATTTATAGAATCGATATAATCCACTTGGTGGGGTCTGCCACTCCTCTAACTGTGTTTATGGAAAATTGCATATATTCAGCATTCCCATTTTCAATGGGTTCATGGCAAGAAAATTTAACTTTTCAGCTTATGAATTACAAATTTTGTTTAAATATCTATTCATTAGAGAGCATACAAAATAATTATTTATTCTTTACTTTATGTAGATGTTTTGGGGGTCATTAATTGTGGTAATGTTGTGCTATTCTCAGGGATGATGAAGTTTACTATATTATAACACAATTATAATTATCTCCATTATTTTATTTGATTAAGCTTATAAAATATTTATTAGGTTAAGATGTGTGAGCGTGTAATGTGACGCGCTAAAACTTTAAGAGTGAGATCACAATTCTTATTAACTAATGATGGTGAAATGAGTAAATATTTATTACCGATAGTATCGATTAAGAATAAGCGTGGTGCCAGATCGCCACAACTTTATCTAATTTTGTTAAGCTATCCAGCTATTCTATGGAGCGTATCATGCAGAGCTTTTCAATAGCATCCACAAAAATATTTGTAAGGGTCCGAACTATTGCCACAGCATCAATGTACGTTAAGAGATATTAGCTAACTATTCACGTCCACTTTGTGTTCTTATACAAAAGATGTGCACACAGTCACACAAGCGCACACATACACACACACACACACACACACACACACACACACACACACACACACAATGTATTTTGTCGTGCATAATCTACCTTCCACAAGACACCTTTTTTCCGTGTCTTGCTTTGCCCTTTATTGTACATCTTTTGTGCTAACAGCTTCATATAGCAAAACAAATGACTTAAGACACAAACTAGCTGCAATTGACCCCCAAAAAGCAGCACTTAACGGTAACTCGCTAGCTCACTGGCTGGCTGACTGGCTGTTTATGTGTATGTGTGTGTGTGTGTGTGTGTGTGTGACCTTCAGCAAACAAAATTCACTTATATATTTTTGTTTATTTTTTAAAACAACAACAACAACAACAACAGCAACAGCAACAATTTTCACACACAACTCCGAAGTGCTGCCAAGTGCGTTTGTCCATTTACATAATTGTCACACGGACTGTTGCCGCTTGATGTCTGTGCCATTAACTAACTGCAGCGACTGTTGCTAGTGACAGCAGCAGCAACAACAACAATAGCAGCAGCAGCATTTCAATTTGCTTTGCTGTTGTTGCTCTTCAAAATGTAATTAACCTCAAGCTGGATCGTTTTTTTTTCTCTCTTTTTCGTTTCGACCTTTTTTTGCGTCATTTTAAGAACTGCGACGACTACTTCAAGTAATTAAGCAAAGCTAAAAGTTCATGTTAATTGTCCAGCACGACAAAACTACAGCAGGTACACACACATTCATGCAGCACACACACACGCACAACAATTATGCCCCGAAAAGGTCAAAGACTAAAAGAATTGTCAAGCGTGGACAGGCCAGGGCCTGATATGAGTACCAGGGGCAAGGCAAAAAAAAGACAGAATAGAGTGCTTCGTTAAATGTATTGTGGGGAGTGGGGACTGTGAAGAGGGGGGAGCTCAAAGTGAGGGTACCGGAGGGAGTCTACAATCTGAAGTTGAGTCATTGAGTCGGGCCGCTTTTGTTGGTTTGCTGGGTTCTGTCGCACGGCGGAAGCAACGAACGACAAATTTTTATTCTTTTGTTTTTTTTTTCGTTTGCTTTGTTATTGCGCTACCCAATCTGGCTCCTCCCCTCTGGCTCTTTCTCTCTCTCTCTTTCTTTCCTTCTCTCTATCTCGCGCTCTTTTTCTATAGCTCACTTGCTTACTCTCACCTGCTTTTATTTTATTATTATTTTAGCAAAATGCCGTTAGTTTTGTGCGAACACGCGGTGTGAATGATACTTTAATTACATGAGCACAACAAAAACAACAGCAATAAAGTCAGAGGGAGAGAGATAGAGAAAGAGAAAGAATAAGAACTTGAATTATAATGAAAATTAAACATGCACAGATTTTGGCTAAGTGGTCAGAGGGAGAGAGAGAGAGATGGATGCAGGGAAATGGAGAGGAAGAGAGAGAGAGAAAGAGAGGAAGTAAGTATAGAAGGTTCTCTAGATTCTTCTGTCGAAAACGTAAACAAAACAGAGATCAAACCTACAAATTTCAATTGAGCAAATTTTAAAAGTACCCTAAAAAAACTCAAAGGAAATTTTGATTTTATTTAAAGATATCTTTAGTTCGTAGATGGTCAGAGGTTAAAACAATGTTAGACAAGAGATGAAAAGGCTATGGAGCAAGCAAGTGATTCCGTTGATTGAGTGATATGAATATGAAAAAAAATTATGTGAAAAATCTTATGAAGAGAGGTCCATTAAAAAATATTGTGTAATGATAGTGGTATAGGTTTAATATATAAATATTATAAAAGATTATATTTTTTGAAAATGTTTTTCTTTCATTCTCAATTTCATAAAATTTTTGTTTATATCAGCCATTTCTTAGGCGTGCATAAAAATGAAAATAATTGCTGAAATATTTCGAGGGATCTTCAAGAGATGCCAAAAAGAGCTAGATCTGGCAACACTGGCAGCGAATCGAAATTAAATTTCATGTGCCTCTTGAGACTCCATAGCTTCCTACAACATTTCAAAAAACAGTCCCTTAATAGTCTAGCCATACTTCAGTTAAGAGACAATTATAAGGCATATATATGTATATTTTATTATCATAAAAGGCATTTCCAAGATTTGTGTGCAGTCTGGCAGCTCTTTTGCTGTCCGGCCATCCTGAAAATTGAACGGTTCTAGGAGTAAAAATGACAGCGAGTCTTGATTAGGCTTATGATTAAGCCCTTTATTTGCAAGCAGTGCCGTGCAATGCTCGAATAAGTGAGAGAATAGATTTAAAACATTCAGTTATTGTAACGGTCGTGTTTCGATTTTGATTATAGCGCGGCAGCCTCCCAAACATACTGATGTTCCAATTAGAGCGACACGCACCGCACACAGATTTAGCTTATCTCATCGCGTTTGTCGTGCCTTGCCACATTGTGATGCAGCTGCTGTCGCAGTTGGCCGTCGTAGAATTTGAGTCCGGCAAAGTGTTCGATGTCACGGATATTGGACATGAATGCGCTCAACTCTAGATTGCCCTCGATTTCGGTATTGGGAACAACATAACCCTCCATATAGGGTAGATACTCCTGATCCTTGCACTCGGCAATTATCACTTTGAAGAAGTGCGTCGGCACGGCCACCGTATTCATGCCAATCACCTGATGCCTGATTGCCCAATTGCGAAAGGTGATGCGCTGTGGCATAAAGAGTGGACCCGTATAAACATATACCGAGCCGCATTTGACAGCCAGCTCGCGTACGTAGTCCTCCAGGCGTGACCATATTCGCGATTTTAGCCCTTGGCTCACTGGCGCTATGTTCGGCATTATGAACGTCTCAATATATTTCTGCTCATCGTAGCAATAGTTCTCCGGCGACGCCAAATGACCGGCCACCCAATCGGTATTCTTATAGTCGCGGTAAGCGGCGCGAAAGATAACCGGAATTTGGGAATCGATTAGATAATCTGTTGGTATTTCCATATTATCCGAATCGGGGCTGTTTAGACATTCGCTTTCCAGATGCTCGCATACCCAGTGAGCGATCCGATTGCGTCTATCATAAGATAGCACAAAATTACGATAAACATGTATATCATCCAGACCGGGAAACCCATATTTCATCAGGGTTGCCACATGGGTGGGCTCCGGCTCCGCCACCGGCTCACTGCCCAATGAGAAGGTGAAGAACATGGTCTAAATGGGCAATTCAAACAGCTTTAAATGATGTATGATATGATGATCCAATGATCAACAACTTACCACAGTGTTTATGTTGAGCTGAAACCATTTAATATAGTTGGCAAATACGGAATCTGCTATCGCAGAGTCTACTGATCTTCTCTGAATTGCATAATCTCCGCTCGGCCAGTCAGGTGGTGTATCATCAAAAGATTCGATGGAGTCGTTGTCGACCGCTTGAAGTGGTTGAACGACCAATCTCAACTAATCCCATCAGTCGTCGATCATTATCTATTAGGATATATTCGGGTACGATTTGCATATACTACTTACTGCCTGATAGATTCGCTGACGACTCTGATAGATATATGGATCGTTTTCCATTGTCGATTGCAGATTGCGATAGGAGCTATCCTGTTGTACGACTGCGCCGGCAAAGAACCCCAACAAGCCGGTCAGTACAGCCAGCGATAAGGGCAGTGTTAATGGCAGCATTACCAATTAGTGCTATGACATCAACATACGGAACGGATTGGCTTAAGATTGCGTTGGGAGGCTGCAGAGTGCAACAAGTTTTCCAAAATTGTACTATAGAAATGCTCTGTGCAAACCCCCCAAGTAGTTACGTCATTTTTATTATAACTTGTTAATCTTAATTTCTAGCATATCGAAATGAAACAAAAATCAAATGCAACTAAGTATAACATAGCTAAAATTTTTATTTGAAATATTTCGTATGTGGACGATACTTAAAGCTAATATTAATATTATTTGGGAAAATATCTATTTGGGTAAAGTTCTGCACGAACTCTGAAATTACTGATGAAAAGAATTTAAAATTTTCATGTGTGAACTCTACTCTAGCCAGAAAACTAAATTGTTATTAGAGCCATAAGAAACTTATATTTAACCTGGTAGAGTCCTCTAAGAACTAAGGAACTATTGGAGCTAGAAAAAAAAATTAAATGGGCATTTTACTTTTATCAAGTCAAGTTGTCTGAAATTATTTGAATAAATAATATACGTATAACATTGAAATATAATATTGTATAAATTCTATTCTATGAAACTCAGTAATAATATCATCAATAGCTAGTACTTAAATTACAAAGTTATGTTTAGACATTCAAGCTAATTTTTGCGTTTAACTTTAGAATTTAGTAAATATGAATTGCAAAATATTATACTATATTGTATGGTGCAATTAAGACCTTAAGTTAGCAGCTAGGCGGGTTCCAGCTATGCTCTAATGCCAGACTTTATTTACGAGCAAAACCAACAGCAACATTCGTGGCCCGCCCCGTTGGGCGAACCTTCCCCATTGACCCTCACCCAAATTGTGAGAGCCGCTCAGCCCTGGCACGCAAAACTATCGCAGCAGACGCTAGTCTAACTGCCCATTTAACAACAGTAATGCTTATGTATGCATGGATGTACAGACATTTATTAATATGCGACTGCAATGAAACAAAATATATATCTCTGTACTATACATATATATATATATATATATAAATACAAATATATAGAAGTATATACGTATATATATATAGGTTGCCCAACAACCGCCATCAGCCATGAGAAGCACGAGAATTTCGCATAAATTTATTTTTCAGACAAAGTCAAAGAAGAAGCTAAATAAAAACAAGTGCGCGCTACAAAGTTAATGTGCTGCGCGTTAGGAACTTTGAAAAGACCTCTTAATACACTCGCTGGCTGCCCAAGCGTACAGAATTTATGTGAGCTTTGCAAACATTTTGAGTGCCCAGCAACGACCCCTCAGCTGATAGCTATCTAAATATACGTATATGAAATGCTAAAATACGCTTCTGCTTGCTAAAGTTCATGTTAAAGTTAACATTAACATTAACATTAGTTAACGCTTAAAAGTGAGAACTTGAATTGATAATGAAAACGTAATTTCGTGTTCATCTAGGATATGAAATAATGTTAGATAAGAGAAAAGTTCATCAGGAGTATACAATAGTGTTAGGTAAGAGAAGAAGCTTTGAATGAGCAATTGAATGTTCATGTTAAAGTTAACTTCAATATGGTGGGAACTGTGCTTAAGCTTCTCTATATGCTAGAATTAAAAAAAAATTAAATTAAGGTATTTTATTTACCCTTTAAATGAAATAGTAATAATTAAAGAAAGAGAAAGCTTGTTACAACAGCGTTGCCACACATTTAGTCAGATCATTTGGCATTTTATTAAAGTTAAATAATATATAATCCATTTCACACTTATAATATATTAAACAATCAAACCTTTAGGGGGAAACACTGAATTCAATGCGCTTTACTTCTATTTGACATACAAAATGCTTTTTTCGAAAGTTTACGAATCAAACAGAATTGATGAATCTACATAGCAGATGTTTAGCAAGGTGGCAACTCTTCCAGTTGAACATTTAAAGGTTAGAAAAATAAAGATATGAAGTAAAGGCTGAAAAAGAAAGCAAATTCATATTAATTTTGCATGTTAATGTGTATGTTAAACTCAATCATGTCTTCTTTTCGCAGGGCATTGCCAGATCTGCTGGCAACGCTGAGTTTGGACTCAGATTTTGACAGTAACTAGAGTGATTTGAATTGCGAAAGGGTATTTGAGTTTTGTTAATAAATCGTAAAAATCAGATACTCAGTGTGATTTTCGTGTGAGAATTACCGCAATTGTGGTAAGCCACAGATGAATTAGGCGGAAGCCGCAGTAAGCGACAAAAAAAACCTAAACAAAATTTAAACTAGAACCCACAAAAAAAAAAAAAGAAGTATAAAGAAAACAAGAAGAAGAAGACGCTTTTAAAACTCGAACAAAACAGCTCGAAACCAGCTGTAAATAGTCGTCAAAGTATTTTTGTGACGTTTTATTGTTTCCGATAAAGAAACCAAGTTATGAACTATGATGCGAATTGATGGCACAACCACAGATCGAAAGATCACTAGAGAGTCGAACAACAGCAACAAGAAAAGCTGAAGAAGCGGAGGAAGATATATAACGAGGCAGTTGCCCGAAACCGGTGACAAGTCGTAAAAGCGAACAAACCGACAACAAGTGGCAAAACTCATTTGACTTCCGAACTTTCAAACATCGATATTCGTTGTTGTTGTTGTTGTTGTTGGTGTTGTTGTTGGTGTTGTTGTAGTTTTGTAGCTCCCATAGCCATTATCATTATTCATCCCGGCTAGCCCACACCCTGTATTCTGTATTTGATAATGAGCTAAGGCGACAAATTATGTGCATGCCATACAAGCTTAGCTCTCGATCGATTGAATTGGGATTTCGATAGATTCGAAAGAACATAACAAATAAAAGCAACAGGGGGGCCCACGTTCCGAGTTCCGAATTGCATATGCGTAGGCATACCGTCCATATACATACATATGCATTTGATCACGCCCAAGGATTGTATTTAGCTGTGATCAATGCAACACGCTGGCTGGGTGGCATACGATGACAGTGGGCCGTAAGCCGATAAACTCTAAATGCTGTTTTGTTCAACAGTTGAGCTGTTAATGGAACCTCTTCGCCTCCACAAAGCTCAAATGAGCTAAACGAGAGCTACCAACAGAAAAGACAGCCTAACGTATGAATTACTCTGATTGCATACAAATGGGGATCGAAAATGATTCATGAGCTCCATATGGAGCACTTTTTGATGAGCTCTGTGTAATGTAGATTTCACTTTACTTTAGTGAACTATAAGGTGTTTATTCTTACTCCTTGAAGTACATTATTTTTCTTCGATCGGTAGCCTACGCGATTTATTAGCCACTATCTGCCTTATAGAATATTGTAAAAAGCCCACATGGATCGATCTATGCTGATTCCCGATTAAATAAGCAGAAACCCCCAATGAATCGACCGACAGATGGAAAAAAAATTTCGAACAAAGTAGGTTTCGAATTGTGAAAAGTTCGATGAGCCCTAGAGCCTAAAATATTTCATCAGTATACACATCTCTCTCGAGCAGTAAACAGTAAAAAAACTTCTAAAATTCCTAAAAATAAATATATTTATATTTGTAAAAATATAGAAATATATTTTATATTCGTAGATTCAAAAAACTAAACATGAAATTGCGTAGCGGTCGCGAAATTTTTCCCGAAGACGATTCAGCCGATGCTGCTAACGGTGAGTCACGTAACGATAATCGTTCGAGGCGTCGCATTTCTCGCGCTGCCCGGGGAGCCGGTGCCAATGGATCGACCAACTCCGATGCCCGTACTGAGCGCGTGCAATCGACTGCCGCCATTCGTTATCGTAATCGCAATCGAAATCGCAATACACCCATGGCCTCTGAACAGGTACAGTATAGGGGTATGAATTCCAAAAAGATATGTGAATCTTACTGTCATTCCAGCGATCTTTGCCCAACATCGGAACTGAGAATTCAACTAATGCGGCTCTCGCAGAGCTGAGCCAACTGGCTGCTTTTATTCTTGGACACAGTCTTCAGATGCCACCTTTGCCGCCGATGCCGCGCGTGAACCCACCACCTACCATTCAAGCCCCAGACGGAACGCTGTCGACCAAATTCTTCATGCCCTTCGTACGTCAGTATTTGACTCAAAATGTAAATAATAACACTCGCATTACCAGCAACATACCCGAAATGCTTAATCTTTTCGTCGAAAATCCTGAATCTCAAGTCAGATCGGAAGATCTAGTCGAAGATGAAGACGATATGATGGATGATGAGGAGATTGAAGAGGACGAGGGAGATGATGATGATGATGATGGTGAGGAAGATGATGACGATGATGATGATGATGAGGATGATGAGGATGATGACGACGATATGGATGATGAAGACGGAGAAGGCGATGGGGATGATGACAATGATGACGATGATGACAATGATGACGATGATGATGATGATGACGATGATGATGATGACGATGGTGATGATGATGACGATGGTGACGATGATGACGAGGAAGACGACGAAGATGATGACGAAAATGATGACGATGATGTCGACATTGATGACTGTCCAGCATCACTTTTTAGGCTTATATTTGGCGGGAATAATTAACATAGTTCGATAGGCACATGTATATATATATATATATACATACATATATGCAGGGGATGATTAGTTTTTAGATCGCGTAGTGCTACTTTTTGGGAACTTCCGAGGCTTAGTTTATAAATTGATAATTTAAGTTGTTTCTTGTTATTCGTCGATCAACACATTTCGATTTAGGCATTATTTCGGTTCTAGTGTGGAGTTTTGTAGAGTGCTCGAATATGTTATATTTATGAAATCTTAATCGTGATATATTGTGATATACAATCGAATCGAAAATATATATATACGTAGTGATGCAACATAGAAATGTATTGAATTGGGAATAGTTAGATGAAACTCGAATAAAACTGAGATACATCTCAACTATGAAAGACTAAACGATATTGCCTGAGAAAACTTTTTTGTGAAACTTATCAATATTAGATGAAATTATTGCATGAAACTGTTTGTTAGAGCGTTAAATAAAACAACTTCACATTTGCGATATCAAGATCGAAACTGAATTGAGCTGTTTATTGTCTAAAATCCAAGCTCTTATATACCTAACAGAGACTCTTAAAACTACTTCCAATCACTGGAAGGGTGCATTTTCCCATACAAACAAGTGCACAGATGTTTAGTTAAGTGTCCCTGTTTTAGATCTTTGGGCCCAGGCTCACGTTACATTTATATTAGCCGCTGCATTGGTCGCTGCAGCTAATGGATTGCATATTTATTACATATTTATTACTTAGTGTCGGATAACGCGCAGGTTATCGACTATTATCTATATTTTGATGTATGTGACATGTTCATGCTTGAGCACTGTGTGATAAAACTCTTTGATATCGTCTGATGAAGCTGATGAAACTATCCAAAAACTCGAACTGATAAAACTGCTTGATGCATCGGATTGATGGAACTCTCTGAAGAAGTTGGCTTACTATAGAAAACTGATCAGGCTGATGAGAATATCTGATGTCTTGAAAAACCAGCCGATGAAACTGTCTCATAATACTAAAGAAGCTTGTTTCATGAAACTGGTTGATGAAGCTGTCTCATACAATTGATGAAAAAAAATTATTTCATGAATATGAGGAGCCCTTGAGCCTAAAATATTTCATCAGTATACACATCTCTCTCGAGCAGTAAACAGTAAAAAAAACTTCTAAAATTCCTAAAAATAAATATATTTATATTTGTAAAAATATAGAAATATATTTTATATTCGTAGATTCAAAAAAAACTAAACATGAAATTGCGTAGCGGTCGCGAAATTTTTCCCGAAGACGATTCAGCCGATGCTGCTAACGGTGAGTCACGTAACGATAATCGTTCGAGGCGTCGCATTTCTCGCGCTGCCCGGGGAGCCGGTGCCAATGGATCGACCAACTCCGATGCCCGTACTGAGCGCGTGCAATCGACTGCCGCCATTCGTTATCGTAATCGCAATCGAAATCGCAATACACCCATGGCCTCTGAACAGGTACAGTATAGGGGTATGAATTCCAAAAGATATGTGAATCTTACTGTCATTCCAGCGATCTTTGCCCAACATCGGAACTGAGAATTCAACTAATGCGGCTCTCGCAGAGCTGAGCCAACTGGCTGCTTTTATTCTTGGACACAGTCTTCAGATGCCACCTTTGCCGCCGATGCCGCGCGTGAACCCACCACCTACCATTCAAGCCCCAGACGGAACGCTGTCGACCAAATTCTTCATGCCCTTCGTACGTCAGTATTTGACTCAAAATGTAAATAATAACACTCGCATTACCAGCAACATACCCGAAATGCTTAATCTTTTCGTCGAAAATCCTGAATCTCAAGTCAGATCGGAAGATCTAGTCGAAGATGAAGACGATATGATGGATGATGAGGAGATTGAAGAGGACGAGGGAGATGATGATGATGATGATGGTGAGGAAGATGATGACGACGAAGATGATGATGAGGATGATGACGACGATATGGATGATGATGACGATATGGATGATGATGACGATATGGATGATGATGAGGATGAAGACGGAAAAGACGATGGGGATGATGATGATGATGATGATGATGATGACGATGATGACGATGATGATGAGGAAGACGATGAAGACGATGACGAAGATACGGAAGACGATGACGAAGATACCGATGATACCGATGATGAGCTCGACATTGAGGACTACGTTATTAAGTTTCTATTTGGCTCGAAAAAGTAACATAGTTCGATAGGCACATGTATATATATATATATATATATATATATATATATATACATATATGCAGGGGATGATTAGTTTTTGAATCGCGGGTTAGGGCTAGTTTTTGAACTTATTTAGGTTTAGTTTATAAATTGATAATTTAAGTTTCTTCTTGTTATTCGTCGATCAACACATTTCGATTTAGGCATTATTTCGGTTCTAGCGTGGAGTTTTGTAGAGTGCTCGAATATGTTATATTTATGAAATCTTAATCGTGATATATTGTGATGTACAATCGAATCGAAAATATATATACTCGTAGTGATGCAATATAGAAATGTATTCGTTCTTTAATCTATGATCGGAATGTTGGGTTGAAGTGGGAATAGTTAGATGAAACTCGAATAAAACTGAGATACATCCCAACTATGAAAGACCAAACGATATTGCCAGAGAAAACTTTTTTGTGAAACTTATCAATATTAGATGAAATTATTGCATGAAACTGTGTGATGAAACTCTTTGATGTCATTGTCTGATGAAACTATTTGATAACTCGAACTGATGAAACTGCTTGATGCATCGAATTGATGGAACTCTCTGATGAAGTTGGCTTACTATAGAAAACTGATCAGGTTGATGAGAATATCTGATGTCTGAAAAAGCCGGCTGATGAAACTGTCTAATAAAACTAATGAAGCTTGTTTGATGAAACTGGCTGATGAAGCTGCCTCATACAATTGATGAGACTGATGAAACTATGAATGAATCTATGTAATAAAACTTTCCGATAAAACTGATGAAAGTAATATGTATTTTCTTGATAAATCAGACTGATGGATCTGTCAGCTGCTGTTCAATGAAAGTGTCTAATGAATTGACTAATGAATCTAGCTGATGAAGCATACGAAACTTTCTGAAACTGTTCGAAATTTTTTGAAGAAACGGCTTCTTGCAATAAGCTTCTTTATACTATATGTATACATATATATCTTCTATATATACTTTAATGCTTGCTTAAATCTAAATTGCTTTTAAATCAACAAAATTTGCTTACTTGCCACACACAGCCGCACGCATCACGCATGTGGCAACAGCTCAAAGAAATGCAAAATGTTGCTATGTTGATGCTGTTGTTATTGTTGTTGTTGTTGCTCTTGCAGGCAGTCTGTCGAGCCAGCTGGAATTTGAAGTGTTTAGCATGGTAAATGTTGCGTTTATAAATTTAAAAACCTATAATAAAGTCATTTGCTCAAGCCATGTGCAACAGGCGGTTGCTGCTGCTGCTGTTGGTGTTGTTGTTGGTGGTGGTGGTGGTGGTGGTTGCTGATGGCTGTTGTTGTTGATTTTGTTGCTGCTGCAGGCGAATTTGGTATCCGCCAGCCGGAGCAGACGAGCCTGACGACAGGCAACAGGCTGAAAGCCGAAGAAGCGGCAAGTGCAACAGCAGCAGCAACAACAGCAGCAGCAACAACAACAACTAGCAACAATAACAACAACAACTTGTTGCGCTGATTATTGTGTTCAATTTTAATTTGTGCAACATTTTGTGGCCAAAATTGTTTTTGTTTTGCTGCACTCGCGCGAGCTCTGTTGACAATTGATCTGATTGTTGGTGCTGCAGCAGCAACTGTTGCTCGTTTTCTATATCTGTCGGCTATCTACAGGCGCAATTTCCAAACACTGATTGCTGGCGACTTTCTTTTAACCGTTTGAACCGTGTCAAGAACTAAATCTCGAGTGCATTCAAATGGCGTCGAGTGAAAAGTTGCAAATTTGCTTAATCGCTTATTTGAGCAGCATTTAAGAAGCGTGTATGCCCACACACATGCCCACTCGAAGGGGGCAAGCACTCATACCAAATACAATTTAATGAAATGTTTTTAATGCAAAACACACACATTAAACACATCAACAACAATGAAAAGAAATTAATAATAATCATAATAATAATAACAACAAGCGGAGACCATATAACACATGCATCAAATACACCGCATCAAAGCTTATAATGAGAATGCGAGTACGTATAACAAAGCCAGCTGCGCCTGCGCACATTTTTCTTGCTATATACCCTACAGCTGGGGCATATAAGTTGACTAAAGTGATAAGTGAAAGGGCTGTTAGAAAAAGTTTTCGCTTTGTTCAATAATAGTCTGTATTTATTCCAAATTCTAGAATCTAGACTTTTATTTATCTAGAATTTGCATTTTCCATCATATTTTATATGGAATAATTATGAATTAATTATTATTTATATTATACTAATTTATTGATCGTATTGGACTCCAAATTATTTGTAAATAATTGCAACGGCTTTTCTGTATCATAAAATATATTTTATAAGAGCTTAGCTTAGCCTTAACTTTCATCTCTACAAAAAATCAACGATTGCTTAGAATCAAATGTTAAGTTAAAAAAAAAAAAAAAAAAAAAAAAAAAACAAAATAGCCTAGACAACTTTCAACTTCAACTTTTCCAACTTCTGTCTGTGCGAATATTTTGTTTCAAGATCAGTTAAGCGTATCCCATTGCGCGACAGTGTGCGGACTCTTCGACAAGCTACGGATTTACGTATTTTTCTTTGAATTCAATTTTTTTACTTGCGCGTGAGTACACATTCAGTTACAGATACGTTTAGAAGATATACTCGTATATATCAGATACAATTGAGACGGGGCGATTGGGATTCAATTTCGGATACAATTTCAGTTGACCATTGTTGTTGCTGTCGTTGGGTTTCTCACAATTAAGCAGACAATTTGTTGCCGCCATTAAGCGAGCGCAGGCGAACAAGTAATCAAGGCGCTGACAAAGCCAAAGCCTACAACAACAACAGCAGCAGCAGCAGCAACGGCAACAAAAGCACCGAGTCAACCCAAACATACCGAACAACCCGAACAACCTGACATCGCAAATGCCTGACACATACATTCGCATACGCACACATATACAGACATCATAAGCACACACTCACACGTTTTCTGGCGCCTATAACTTATTGATACCCTGTAGTTGAGCCTATGTAGAGGGCATATATGTATATATGTATGTATATATATATATACCCATAAGCGTATCAATTTGCATTAATCGACAATCGATAAAAATTTACGATCGTCTTTTTATTGTTAAACCGATATCATGACTTTCAGTTTAAGCTACAACCAGATTGTTATCGATGAATTTGCTGTTGGATTG